CTACATTTCCAGCCAATTAATGGCATTGTCGAATCGGCGCATTTTATCCAGTTTTCAAATTTGATTAAATTGCTCCGAATCATTTCCCCAAAAAATCCTTTGGAGATCGAAAAGGACTACTTATCGCCTTCCAAAAGCCAGATTTTCAGTCAATTATTTCGTGTAGCACATAGTTATAATGCGTTTCTTTTAACCTGTTTTCAGTCTAGTTAAAAGTAGGTCTGGAAAATTGAATTAGATTTTCTAAATAAATAGACCCTTCTCCAAAATGGCGCCGGCCAAGAGAGGACTGAAAACTGGGGGTATAGTTTGTTGACATCTAGAGTCGCAAAGATCGATTTCTGCCATTTTTTGTCGGAAGATTTACAAAAATTGAAAATGCCACATAGCTGTTGTGTCCCCTTTTGTAATGCTACATCAAAGAAGAATAAGAACCTTCGATTTCACTGTTTTCCCAAGAAACAAGAGCTAAAAGACCAGTGGATTGCTAAAATTCGCCGCGACGAGGGAGATTATTTCGCTGTTACAGAGAACACACGCATCTGCTCAAAGCACTTCTGCGAGGATGATTACACAGTTAGCAAAGATGGAAAAGGCAAGAAAATTGTTCTGAAGAAAGGTTCTGTGTCAACTATTTTTAAATGGTCTATCGAAAAACAATGTCGGAGTACTTTTGTAAGCAAAGGAAAGTGTAAAGGTGAAGCTTTGAAGGCGCCACGGAAGAAATGGCAATGAAAGAGCTGCCCGCGCTGCGAAAGAAAACAAGCTGCTATTGACAGACTGCAAAGTGATCTTGAAGAAAAAAAGCCCAGTTGAAAGAACTTAGTGAACGGTTTGAGCATTTCAAAAAGGAAAAGGGAGAGCAATAGGTTGCTTGCGTCTTAAAGAAGGATAAACATGTGTTTTTCTGCTGAAAACTTCCGTAAACAGGACCATTTAATTCCATTTTACACAGGTATTGTAAACTGGACTGTGTTTTTGCAGTTTAACTTTATTGTCAGTAGATGTAAGGATATGAAATACTGGAGATCTGACATTAATGCAGATGAAAATCACCAGCATGAGCCTGATCAGCTACGTCAAGGAAGACCTCGAAGTTTGTCGATGCTTGATGAGTATTTTCTAACTCTTGTCAGATTAAGACATGCCTTCCCAGAGGAGCATCTAGCTTACCTTTTTAAAATGTCAATGTCAACAGTTTCAAGAATATTCCTTTCTTGGATTAACTTGTTGTACTTTGAATTGGGATCCATTCCCATCTGGCAGAGCAAAGACCTAATTGAGGAAACTATGCCCATTCCTTTTAAAGAAAGGTACCCAGCCACCAGGTGCATTTTGGACTGTACAGAAATCAAGATTTGCAAACCATCATCCTTGCGAGCTCAAAGTCAGTGTTTTTCCTCTTACAAAACCACTACAACTATGAAGGAATTGTTAGGAATTGCACCCTCTGGTGCTCCTGTATTTATTTCTGATCTTTACACTGGTAGTATTTCAGATAAGGACATCACAAATTCAAGTGGAATTCTAGAGCTGTTGGAAAAGGGTGATGACTGCATGGCAGATAAAGGATTTAACATTAAAGATCTACTGGAACCAATTGGAGTGACTTTAAATATACTTCCCTTTCTTTTTGATAAAGTCCAGTTTAACGAGGAAGAAGTTGAAAATACACAGTCATTAGCTAGTGTTCGCATCCATGTGGAAAGGGCTATAAGTAGAATCAAAATGTACAAAATCATTACCAATGTTGTGCCCCTGTCTCTGGCAGGGGTGTTAAATCAGATTTGGACAATCTGTTGCATGCTGTTATTATTTCAGTCCCCAGTTATTGACCAGGAAAAGTATGAGGAAGACTGATCATTCTGGTCCATTGTGTCTGGATTTATTGTAAAAAAATTAAACACCTTCTATTATGTAAAATCACAACAGTTAAGAGATTCAGAAGTATGTTTCTTTCCCTTATATTTTGCACAAAAACATGCTTGTACATGAGACAAATTTACACTTTGCATGCTGTTTGTCATCAGTTATCTGCTTATTGCCTCAAAAAATAAGGCAAGCAGTGAGAAAAATAAAGTTCATGAACTTTGGAAGTGACTTTGTGAAAAACTCCAGGATCAAATTCAATTTTTTGTACAAACAGATTTTCTGACCCCTCCTTAGAATGGATACAAAATTTGCTCCACAACAACCCTGATATTTCCATTAGGCCTTGTAGCTGAAAGTAATACTTATGGTTATGTTTGAGTCTTATTTCTCCATTTTTATCTCGATGAATACAAATGTCCCTTTTAAGTTCTAAGCATTCCTCAATTGACTTTCCCTTTATCGAAAACAAGCTCTTAATTTCCAGAATTCCAACCGATGGATTCTCATTAGGATCATAAATAATACCATCAGGCGAACAACCCATCCAGTAAATGTCAGGATGAATCAACAACCCACATTTGAAAACTTCTACTTGAGGGCCTGATAATTCCTTGAACTCTTTGACAACCATTGGTTCCATGTCTAGACCATATTTCATGGCCTCAGTCTGCACCTTTGTTGATGAAAATAAAGTATGTAAGAACCTATCATTAACTGGTGCTTTTCTAGAAACAACTTCACCGAATCTTGAAGCAGTTATTCTGAATGCTCGCTCTTGGTGCCAAGTTGAGCAACTGGACTGACTTCTCGTATTCTTCTTAATTTCCAACACTTTTTCTTGAGATAACATGACATTTGATAGGAAGGGTTTTTCTTCTTCTGGCACTGTTGGTGGTGGCCCTTTCCTAACATGTTCTGGTAAAGTAATTTCTACGGGAAAGTCAAACACTGCCTCAAGGTCCTCACTGTAAACAGTATCTACAAAGCTCGGAGGATATATATCCCTTAACTGATTTGCTAAAGGACAGCCTTCTAAAGAATTCCCCCATGGAAGGGACTTGTGGGTTGCTGAGTTAGAGTATCAAAGCCAAGAAGCATAAGTGGTAGGACTCTCAACTGAGATGTTTTCTCCAAGGTGTTGAACATGTCTTTCGGTAATCAGCTGTTGTTTGATAGGTCTGGGATCGTATAAATACTCCTGTACAGTCTTAGGTGCTATTTCGCAAGGCTTTCGATCTATTTATGGTTTCACAAACTCGGAAGCAAACCATCTTTGTGGCTCTAGCGAAGGACCTCGAGGTTTATGCCACTGTTGTGGATGGGAGGTTGGAGAGTTGTCATCGTGTAATTTTACCGTTACATGTGTAAACAAAGCAGCTAAATGTTGGCATTTCCCAGTTCCAGCTTTACATGAACATTGAGTGGTAACTTCAATGCTGTCTTCTTCGGAACCATCAAATACAATTCTTAGTTTATGTGGTGCTTCGGTTTTCCTCATCGAGCGATAACATCTTGCTTTTACAACGCAGCAATCCTCAGAAAACAATATTTTGATGTTCTCGAGGTATGTTTCCAGGTAGTACTTGTCTCCTTTTTTCCTTCCCTTCTTGCTTTCGAGCCACTTATTTGCAAACTCTAAAATAGATCTCTCGAAGTTTCCAGTCTGCAGCACATTTCTCTCTACACTTCCGCCATATTGAAACTTCGTACCCCCAGTTTCCAGTCCTCTCTCGGCGGGCCCCATTTTGGAGAAGGGTCTATTGACAAGAATTGCTCAAATTGCTGTCAACAT